GCATAAAACAGTATATATATATATATATATATATATATATATAGAGAGAGAGAGAGAGAGAGAGAGAGAGAGAGAGACAGACAGAGTTCTATATATATTTGGAAATGACTTCTAAAGACTTTGGGGCAAGATATCAGTCTGGGGAGAGTTAACTTTTTGTAACAAAGTCGGGGTATAGTGTGGGGAGTCTTCTGGAGCCTCCCAGAATGTGCATAGAGGTTGCATGAGGTCAACAGACTGTATTTTTGTAGTTCTGCTATAGAATCTTATTCACTACTGATCTATGTTGCACAGATAACATTGACAGGCATGGCTTTTCATAGAACTGGATCCCTTTGTAGCATATTTCCCCTCATTATTTATGATACAGAGATTTCCCATAGTTCTGCACTATGACTCTTTCACATAACTAGGACTGAATGGATCTTTCTAATCTATGTCAGGTTTGCACATGTTCCTTCTAAGTTCATTCCACATTTTTTAAAAATGTTCATCAAAAAAAACCCTGCTAAAATTACTCATTACACATTTTAACCAAAAATACACATTTTTACTGTTGTGGTCAGAAGATGATACCAAATTTACGTATGTTTTACAATATTGGTGTTTTATACTTGTTCCCTGTTATTTGTGGTTGTAAATCTTTATTATGGGATTGAACTGTTAAATCCTCTAAAATACGCACGTCTTAATTTTATATAGGGCAGTATCCTCTGCATTGCTTAAAGGAAAATTTCAGGATATTCCTATTGCTGCATTTTTATGTCTTTGTGAGACAGAAGAGATGAACTCCAACAAGGACATTATTATTGCAGGAGAGCATGATATTTAAGGAATTCTTAGACTCAACTGGGGCCAAAATCCAACAGTATGTTCCAAATGGATCCCACACCTTCATCCTGAATCAGTAATCCATCCTCTCTCCTACTCCCCCAATCCCTGTGGTCCTTAAGAACCTCCTTAGGAGGACTGGGAAACTTGGAAATATATTTTTGGTACCAAGGACAGCTGCAGCAGGACTAGAAGAAAGTCCTAAATCTACTATGTTGTACAGGCATACCTTGCTTTAAGGTGCTTTGCTTTAGAGCATTTCGCTAATACAGCACACATCAGCTGACTATAAGCTGAATTTAGATAGTCAATTGGTGCCATTTTGTGACCCACACTGAGTCTGTAAATGTTTTTAAGCTTTTATATGCACTAGCAAGCAAAAAGAGAGAGGCTGTGATTCGCTTTAAGGCAATGTGTGCTTAATGGTAGTAGTGTGGAGCTTAACCATATGTATAAGCAAAGTATGCCTGTATACAGATATACACTACAGGACAGGGAAGTACAATGCTGGATCTTGGCCTGAATACTTTATTTCTGTAAACAAAAATATCAGAGAGAGATGTTATGCAAACTTTTAAAATATAGAAATACAGTGAGAATCAGAATACAATGAAATACAATGAGAATGGGAAAATGCTGATTTAATGTTTTACATTGTGGTGTATTCTGGTCTGTAACTACAGTAAACCTGAATTAAAGAGGGAGAACTAGACCACTACATTTTTATTAGGTCTTGACTCTATCTAAATTTATTTTGACTTATCTTTCTTCCAGAATACTATATTGCTGTGATGGCGAACCTCTGGCACACGTGCCAGAGATGGCACACAAAGCCATTTTCCCCGGCATGCAGAAGGCGGGGAGGAGGAGAAAGAGGTTCCTCCTCCTTCCCAACCCTCCCTGGCCTTCATCTGAAGTTGAAGACTAGGGATGGCGCGGGTGGGGGGGGGGGGGGGGGGGGGGGGGGGGGGGGGGGGGGGGGGGGGGGGGGAAGTCCTGCCCCTGGCACCAGGTAACACCCAGTGACGGAAGGCCTTTTAGTTTGGGCATTCAGCCCCTAAAAGGTTTGCCATCACTGCTATATAGCTTAGCAGCTTATAAGAGTTTTACATATTACTTTTTGGACTACACATTGCATTAGAAGAGCACTCCTAGCAACTCAACAGATTCTGAAGACAGGTAAGAGTCACATATTGTTACCATTTATAGCCTAGGGGAACTTCCTCCCTTAGTAACTGACAATTAACTTCATGATTAATTGCTCTGACTAAACATAGAATAGTGACAGGTAGCTTTGAAAGTTAAGGTGGCGAGGGAATGCCACTGAAGCTATATGACAGCAAAATGCTTCAAGAAAATGCCATGCTAGACTGTGTCATCAGATCCACAAGATGGCATCCTAGCTTCATTTTTAATGTAGTGCCTGGCTTTTAGAGGTTTAAATTATCATTTAATTTCAGAAGAGTCTTTATACTGCCACTGTAAGACTCATGAAAACCAGTAAGGGGAAAATGGAAAACTGACACATTTACAATTTCTTCAAATAGAGTTAGGTTTAAGCCAACTTGTCATAATATGAAGATGACAGTATTTTCAATTTCCCAGGTAATAAAGTTATTTTAAACAATTACATTTTGATAATTTGGGCACAGAATAGTTGAAGAATGGCCAATTCAACCTATATACCTTTAAACAGAACAATCCAGCACAGTGCAATGAATATAGTTGTTGATACAGTTCCAGTATATGTAACCTAGGCTCTTGTTTCTCCTGTGTTACTGGATGCTTTTTTCCATTTGTGCAGCCTGAGAAGATGGACAGGACCCTTGGTGATGTGACAGCCACCAGATGTGGGCTACATCCTTGCTCTTCCTGGCTTGACCAGATGGGAACAAGCTAAGTGGCTGAAACAGCCAGTCAATGAATCCTTACAACAAGGCAAGCTGGAACTCTGCCTAAAGGAGGTAGTTGCTACGCTGAGTGTGGTGGAGTCTCCTTCTTTATAGGTTTATAAAGAGAGCCTGGGTGGCCATCTCTCAGGGGTGCTTTGATTGTGATGTTCCTGCATGGCAGGGGGTTGAACTGGATGGCCCTTGTGCTCTCTTCCAACTCTATGACTCTGTACTTCTAATAGCTTTTATCTTTTTAACTGCATTTTAAGTATAAGTTCAAATTGTTTTAATACTGTGAATAGTTTAATTCCATTTAATGCTCATTTTTGTATGTTGTAGTTGTATTCTTCATTTTTAAATTGTAAGCAACCTCTCCTGCTTTTGGGAGAAAGGCAGGATATAGCAGCAGCAGCAGCAGCAGCAGCAGCAAGTGCCAGCATGATTCAGCTGTTTGAATGTGGGACTAGGACTCTGGGTGACAAGGGTCCGAATCTCTGTTTGGCTATGGAAGCCTTCTGGGTGATCTTGGGCAAGTCATGCTCTCTCAGCCTCAGAGGAAGGCAATGGCAAACCCTCTCTGAACACATAATGCAAAAAACAACAACACCCTGTGATAGATTCGCATTAGGGACACTATAAGTCAGAAATTACTTCAAGACACAGAACAACAAGAACAATCCTATACACGTTTACTCAAAAGTAAGTTCCAATACAGTATTTGCACATATACTCATTTAAGAGTACATAGGACCTCAGATCATAATGTATTTTATCTGCACCTATATCTTATCATGGGATACCATTTTATATAATCATATATACCCATTTAAGAGTACACAGGACCTCAGATCATAATGTATTTTATCTGCACCTATATCTTATCATGGGATACCATTTTATATAATCATACATGATCATATCATGCACATAATATGCATATGTACACTGGGCCCTCAGTATCCACTGGGGTTTGGCTCCAGGACCCCACGTGGATACCAAAATCCATAGATGCTCAAGTCCCATTATATAAAATGGTGTCCCATCTATAAAATAACAAATCAAGGTTTGGTTTTTGGAATTTCTATCTTTTTGGAATGTTTTGAAGCTGTGCATGGTTGAATCCATGAATAAAAAATCTGTGGATATAGAGGGTCAACTGTATAATGCAAATTACCAGTAAAACAGCCTGCCACAAAGCACTCCTCCCTCCTTCAATATCCACTTATTCAGTATTACTATACATTGCATTCCCATCCCAACAAGATTTTTGGGGAATTTGGACTTTTTAATAAATAGGCTTAATTGTGACTTGGTGTTAGATGCTGTTCTCTTTACTCAAAGCAATATTGCATTATTATACAATTCTTTTTTTCTCAAGCCCCAACAAAGCTGTTGCTATTAATAATATTAACCGGAAGTGTCCTTTAGGACACAAAGCTATGTGAGGCTATGATAAGATAATTGTTATTCAAGCTGCCCAAAGTGGGAAATGAGGTTAATAGATTATATTTTCCACCATGACTGACTATCCAGTGGTTTGTTTTTTTTTTTTTGTTTTTTTTTTGAGGAGGAGGTAGCAATAAAGAAGGAAAGAGAATGAAAAACTCTCATAAACCTGTTTTGTCATGTTGGTTCTGTTCATAGGGCGGAAGTGGACTGTGGGAATGGTGGTGTTTTGGAGAGGATGGGCTGGGCAATGCAATGTAACATCGGGGGTTAATTTGCTTGGTAATGGGGCCTTTCTCTGCAAAGGAATGAGGGTGAGGAATTTTACTTTCTGTAGTACTGTGGTACTGTGGAGCTAAGAAATGGCATGTAGTGGGGCAGGTGGGTGATAAGAAGACAGTTAGGCTTGGGCTGTGAGAATAAAGTTGCACACCAATTAGTAGGGGATAGAGTTTTAGTAATTTGTACTTTTATATTATGGTAGTGGGTGGAACTAGTTAGATCTGACCTAAACGCTTTGCTGGTAACTTCTGTTCTGATGTCTGCAATAAAAGTCATTTGTTTTCACCACAACTGGACTAATTGAATTTAAGTTTGCTGGTTCTGATGTTTGGTCAATTTTATTTTATTATATAGTCTTTGGCTAGAGCATGGGATATAAATATTTACAATAAATAAATAAATAAATCTAGCTTTGGGTGTTTTTTCTTGGCATTTTCAGCAGCCAATGCAGTGGCCAAAGGTCAGAAATTTGGCTCCTAGATTTACCACAGTTGTCCACTCCTGCCCTACTAGGGTCCAATGAAATTTATTCCCAGGTATGTGTGTGGAGCCAGAGTAGTGTAGTGGTTTCAATGCTGGACTGAAACTCTGGAGATCAGGGTTCAATTCTCCGCTCACTCATGGAAACCCACTGGGTGACCTTGGGCAAGTCACACACTCTCAGCACCAGAAAATCCCATGATAGGTTTGCCATAAGTTGGAAATGATTTGAAGGCACACAACAACAAAAACAAGTTGTGTAGCAAGGATGGAAATCATGTGGCTTCCCAGATGTTATTGGACTGCAACATCCAGTATTACTCTTTCATGGGCTATGGCTACTAGGAACTGCAGTCCTATAACATCTGGAGGTCTGCATGACCCACACCCAGGTATAAAGTACTGCAGCCTTTTTTCATAGTTGCGATACACTAATCCAGGGGTAGGCAACCTAAGGCCCGGGGGCCAGATGCGGCCCCCTGAGGCCTTTGGACCGGCCCCAGGCCGGTGCTGCCACCGCCGTCGCCCGCCATAACGTTATTGATTATTGTTGTTATTACTTATTCTTGGGGTTTTCTTGGCAAAATCTCCACAGGGGTTTTGCCATGGCTTTTCTGGGGCTGAGAGAGTGTGCATGCATATTTTTTAAATTTTTAAAATATTTATTTATTTATTTATTTATGGTGCTTCGGCTCCCCAATTGTCTGAGGGCTAGCAACCTGGCCCCCAGCTCAAAAAGGTTGCCTACCCCTGCACTAATCCTTGTATCACTTTTTAAACTTTTCAGACAGAATGTACATTTTATAAAAACAGACTCTGAAGGCCCCAAATCATTCCTACTTGTGCATGGCTTGGTTTTGTAGCCATTTTTACTTGTCCAGCGACATCTTATGATAGAATGGCTGGGAGGCAGGGATGGGTTGCAAAAGAAACAGGTTTTCGCCTCTCTGTGTTGAAAGGGGAGTTTTGCTATTTTTACCTGCATGAAAACTACAGTAGAAATTAAACTTCCATGATTTCTTCGGGTCACTATAAAGCTAAGGGCAGCCAACCTTTGTAACCAAATCTGTAAATGGGTGCATACTCCTGACCTATGATGTATGCATACCGTATTTTTCGGCGTATAAGACGACCCGGCGTATAAGACGACCCCCCATTTTTCCAGTCAAAATATAGAGTTTTAGTACCTCTATCCTCCTTATCCTTATACCTGGCGTATAAGACGACCCCCCCCCTTAACCACAGATTTTGCAGGTTAAAAAGTAGTCTTATACGCAGGAAAATAAGGTATATAAAAAAAACAGTGGGGGAAAACTTCTGTAGTCATATAGATGGATCATTTTTATAATCAGTGTTCATTTTCTTCTAGCCCAAAAGAGTTAACTCCCTTCCCATGTGGCCCAGACATTAGCAATACAACTGCCTAATTAACCAAATGCCACAATGGGAACCAAAGTGCAGCATCTGCCTAATAAGCTGCCTAGCTATAAACCAATAAATAACTTAAATATCTTTGACATTATTAAGCAATATGATAATTTCTGATTGGATAATTTAATGTTTCAGATAAAAGGAACTCTTGAGACAGGTGTTGCTACTTAACTAATGTCACATCATGAAAAAGAAAGCCTGTTACAGCAGATCTGAATTAATTATAAGATAATTAGCATAGAGTCAAGGTCCGTCTGTCTCTGAAGAATTGTAGGACAGGTTGCTAATCCACAGAAGAGAGACTTCATTGCTCCAGATTTCTTTACTACCAGCAAAACCATTACTAATTTATGTTTAATTCCAAGAATATGTTATAAAAGAAGATTAAGGAAAGGTCTCAGCTGATATAATCTTTTTCAGTTCTTTATAATCTTTAGCACAATAAGTGGAGTTTTTCAGAACATGAAATTATCCATGTCAAGTAATTAACATGTTATTGCCCTTGGAAGGACCATTAGTGTGTGTGGGGGGGAGCCAACCATGTTCTTTCTGAAGCAAGCAACAGACAAAATAAAGGAACTTTCCTCAGCTCATAAATGTTATAAATTATAAATCTTCATCAAATTGGATGATGTACTTAGCACGTTTTTAGATGAGATACCCCTTCAAGTGATGAAGACATCTCTTTGTCATAACACGCAATCATTCCTTACTTGTGTATTTAGCACGGGCTTAATTTGTAAGTCTGATAGCTGAGGCACACATATGTTATCAGTCAGATTACAGGACATCTAATTATGGATCAAAGGAGATTACCTCGAAGGAGTAGCCTCTGGCCGCTCCTGCTCCGATTGCTCCGGCACCGTGGTGAACACCCAGCCTGCTTCCAGAGCAGGCCACCACAGTAGGTCTCAAGCTGGCACTGCCAGGAGTAGAATATATCTGCTCCTTTTTGGCCCAGCTTTTAGTGTGGCCTCTTTGGGGGCATGTGTCATCTAAACACCACGCCCCCAAAGCAGCCGGAAGCCTTGTTATTTGGCCCAGGTGTTTCATGCCACTGATGAAAAATTTGTCCTCTTTGGATCCTATGATTGTATTAAGTTCCCAAATGGTTTGCAATAATCATGCACATTCAGAGTTTTGAGTTATTTGCATAAGTGTCACTAAAAACAAAACAAAACAAAGGAGCAGTTGTTTTGCCTTAATGAAATCTTTCACAGTAATTGTCTGGAAGGATTTGCCACCACAAGGCTTCAGTCTTTGTATATGTCTAATGTTGTACACAGCTGTTTAGCCTTAATATTCATGATGGGCTGGATATAGCAAAAGCTGGACAAAAAGGCCTACTAGTGGAGGGCTTTTGATCCAGTGGAGGTTTTCCAGTGGGTGAACAAAGAGGATATGACCTTTGCTGATCTTTCTTACTCTACACACCATAAGCTCATGAAAATCTGTTTAGGAGAAAAACATCTATGATAGTGAGAGAAGTGAATTGGGGAAGTGGAGAGAAGAAAGGAGAAAACTGGTAATAATCGCCTCTTCCACCCTCCCACTTTCCTGAACCAGGAATAACCTGACTAGAAGTCTTTGAGAATACACTCGTCCCTCCACATTCGCTGGGGTTAGGGGCACAGGAGCCTGGTGAAACTGGAAAAAAACTACAAATAACAAAACCACTATGTTTTTACCCAAGAGAACACCTCTCTAGGAATCTCTAGCTCCTCCAATGCAACTCTGTGGTCAACATCTGCTAGACATTGTCCACAGAATTGCATTGGAAGGGCTACAAATGCCTAGTGGAGTGTTCTATGAATATCGAGGTCCTTCAGTGTGACTTTTGGTTGACCACAGAATTGTGCTGGATGACCTAGATATTCCTAGAGAGAACATACTAATACAATCCATGAATAATCAAATCTGCAAGTCAGATCTGCAAATGTGGAGGGACGACTGTATTCCTAATGGGCAAGTTGAAATCCTGGATCCAACCTAATTATTTTACATGTATGTACTGTCTATATAAGAATAGAAGGGCCTTGCTGGATCAGGGTAAAGGCCTATGTAGATGAGCATCTTCTTTCCTGCAAGGCTAACCATATTCCTGTAGAGCAGGGGTAGGCAACCTTTCCCCTTTAAGGGCCAAAGGACTTCAGCTCCCATAATCCCAGGAGCTATTGGCCAACATGGGACTATTGACCAACATGGCTGAGGCTTCTGGGAGCTGAAGTCCCTCGGCCCTTAAAGGGGAAAGGTTGCCTACCCCTGCTGTAGAGAATCCACCAGAAAGAGATAAAGGACTAAACCCAACTCTTACTCCCAACTAGATCAGACCTGTTGAATCAATGGAATTTCATTAAGTTTTGAGTGACCAAGCATCAATTGATTAAATCGGTCTCTTCTAGTAGGGTCAAGAAACTGCATTTAGGCCAAGTTCAACAATCTCCTACTGCCATTGCTCTCTGCAACTGATGTTCAAAAGCACTTTCACTCTAATCCTAATAATCCAGAATGGTAGGCACTGACTGCTTCATCTCAGCAATTCCTACAACTGCATCACATGATAGGCCAGTATAAACACTATTATTACTATTCCTATATAGCAAACAGGACACAGGGTGGAAAAAAGCTTTGGGAAATTTGAATCCAGGACTTCCCAGCAAATACTTATAACCATTATAAGCCCAGCCATCACCTGTTTGGCCTGGAAAAAAATATATAGGACTTGCTTCTCAACCTCTGATACTTCAGATGACTGGAAGATAATCTGGAGCTATGATTACAAGTTTTAGTTACCAATGAATTGTTAGGAATGTTGGGATATGCAGTTAAAGTGGAAATGGACAGATGTGGGAAAATTTCTACTGGAAAAGTTTTTGAGCCTGCAGGTAGTAAATGGTAAACAACTCACACAGAACACACCAAGGTCAGTGGCTTAGGAACAGAGAAAGATAGAACATAAACATTAGATCATTTTGTTGTCTGAGAACCAGGATCACATGACTCATGAAACACAGCAAGAGGGCTGGTTTAGAGGACATGTCTATGGAGGTATCCACCCATGGAAGTTTGGGGTTTGGCTTAGAGCAGGGGTCGGCAACTTTTTTTTTTTTGGTGAGGGCCAGGGAGGGGGGAAATGGCACCGGAGGCCGATGTATGCATGCATGGCCCCCCTGAGTGCATGCGCATGACGTCCACCTTTGTGCGCATGCGCACGTGCATGTGGGGTGCCATTTTGGAACGCCCAATGACACCGTTGGGCGTTCCAAAATGGTGCTCTGAGTCACGCGTGCATGTGCACAATGCGGAACGCCATTTCGGAAGGCCCAACAGCACCAGTACCGTGTGAATTCACGGGGCGCCATTTTGGAAGGCCCAATGGCGCTGGCGTCATGCGAATGCTTATGATGCCGGCGCTGTTGGGCGTTCCAAAATGGCACCCGCCGTCGTGTGCATGCGTGCGCAAGCGCAGGCGCCATTTTGGACACCAAAATGGTGCCCGGACTCGTGTGTAGCGCGGCGGCAGCAGTGGTGGTAGGACCAGCCAGGGGCCGATCCCAAGGCCTCGGCAGGCCGGCCCCGGCCCACGGGCTGTAGGTTGCTGACCCCTGACTTAGAGCCTTCTTTGTTCTTGCTACTTGCACTGTTCATGTGTGTGTTCAATCTCCTAATCTGCCTGTATGATGATGGATGTTTTCTGTTCACTTTGCAAC